TACCGCCGGTGGCTCAACCTTATGCAAGTGCCGGGCACCCTTTCCGATAGTCCCAGAATGAGCCAGCTGATTCGGACGTCTGTTGAGGGGCATGGATTCGAGAGCTTTCAAAAAGGACTCTTCCTTAATTTTGCGAATATTGAATCGATGTCCGAAAAATTTGAGCGAACTACCTGCGCTTGCTCGATTTCTGCTAGTTTACCAGCTCTTTCCTCACTTTCGTACTTCCAAGCTACAAGGTCATCTGAATCACCGAAAAGCTCTTTTGCATCCTGAATAACGTTTTTATGCGACATTTGATAAGACTTGTTCGACTGATCTTTACAGCTTTACCTCTAGAGCTTTCAATCTTTAGAGCTAAACCTGTGACAACAGCTGTGTTTCTATAGTTTACCTGGAGGCAAGAAGACAGGAATGACAGCAAGAACAAATTATTGTAACCGCGTAGTATCGGGTTTAGGTGACGGGTTACAAAAACGAACACAGTAGTTCGATATTCTTCAAATACGGATATCGCCATTTCATGCTCTAAACTGAGCAAATTCGATTAAAATCCTAATTCAGAAAAGCAGTAACTAACCACGGGAAACCATAGACAGAGCCAAGCGTTGTAACGCAGCTAATTGTAACATAAGTTTGTATGCATATCGAATTTGCATTTTCACGGAGCGGTGCTGAAACGAAAACTATGCTGCATGGAACAAGCACCACTACAAAAAACAGGCGTTGATTTCCGTGAAATAAAAGAGCATAAACTCACAGGAGAGCCCTCTTTGACTTGCCCTATGAGCGGCACCGTTACTTCTATAAGACGAGAAACAGCTAACACCAGGTCCATTGCTATTTGCAACTCATTTTCCTGAGATAAATCAAATGTTGCTAATTAGGAAAAAGGCAAACATAGTTCAACTCACCGCTATACTTTGCTCTGCCGCATTCAATACCTCATACATTAAATTAGTGTAAAGTAGTCCGAGTGCCCCATCTGGATATAATCTAGAAAAAGATTGAGAAAGTTTTGCGACATGCAAGAACTACCTTAATGTGGTTAAAGTTACCGGAAATATTTCAACTGCAATGAACTGTCAGCGGTTTGCTCCCATTCCAAAATGATCCGCATGTTGTTTAAGATTCGAAGTATTGAGCTCCTTACTGAAAATCATTGAAAAACAAGTGATAAAGACCAAAACTGAACCAGAACAAG